CTTTTTGTTACACGAGACACAAAACTTATAGGAACCTCACCTCCTTGTTGCTTCTGTACCAAGACTCCTGCTAATCTTTCACACGAAGCATCTGTTTTAAGGATACAAGGTTGATCATACTGTGGATGGAATACTCGTAAATTCTTCGTAAACGTTTTTATTAATTCCTGGAAAGCTGCTTCTCGCTGCTCTGTCCATTGCCATCTTACATCCTTCTTTAACAATTCAATCAGTGGAATTTCATTTTACTCAAACCAGGAATAAGTCTCTTATAGTATTTCAATATTCCTAAGAAACCTCTAAGAGTTTTAAGATTATTAGGAGTTTTGAATTCTAAGATAGTTTTGACTCTTTCAGGATCCATACTCACTCCGATTGTGTTTAGTAAATATCCTAAATAAGTTATCTCGTGTTGATAAAATTGACATTTTCCTAAATTTAATTTTAATCCTGTCTGTTCTAATTCCTTCAGAATAATCTCCAAATGTTGTTGATGTACAACTTCATTTTCTGAGTAAATCAAAATGTCATCAATATAATGGAGGACAAAATATTCATATTTAACAGAGTAACATCGGCTCTTATTATCCAAAGGTATAAGCCAAAAACTGTGTTTAAGGTCCAACTTTGAAAATACTTTTGCTTTAGTGATTCTACCAAATATTTATTGGACTTTCATACTGTTTCTTCGAATAGCTGTTAATGTTTCTAGAATCTAAACATATGCGAATTTCTCCAGATTTTTTTCCAGCACATGTAATAGCGCTAATATACGATGAATCACTTCTTTCTATAATTCCTTCTTAAAGCATTTTCTCTTATTCTTGATAGACTTCATTTTTAATTTTATATGGAATAGGGTATGTTTTAATTTTAAAATTTTTAATTTCTTTATTCATCTCTAATTTATGTACATACTTAGTAGCCATACACACCTCTTCATTAAATAGCCTTTGATATTTGTTTAGTAAACTTTTAATTTTTTTTCATGTTCCTTAGCACACAGGTTTTTATAATTCTCCAAACACACAGCCACCGTACTATTAGTATCATATAATTTTTTATTGTTCTCTCCCACTAATGAAACTTTATTTGTTTTAATCAATATAATATCATTTTCCTCTAAGTTATCAACTAAATTTTGATTTATTAAAGTTACCTCTGACCCAGTATCAGTATTATTTTACTTGATTGATTTTTAAAACTACCCTCTATAAATATTAAATTTGTTATTTCATTTTGTCCTAAATCCCCACTTTCCTTAATTAATTCTCTTGGATGTTTGTACTTAAAAGAATAAACAATATTATGGACGTGGAAGCGATCTACACAAAATTTTCATTTTCCTGTCCCTGGACAATTCCCCTATCTACCTCATTTGATCTTGTCATATTTACTTATCTTATATTTTCTTCCTCTCTACTTCCCCTTACAATGTTTTGATTACCTATATTGCGATTATTGTAATCCCCATTTTGTCTCTAATTTTCCCTATCTCTATCCTGTCCTCGATCCCATCTATTTTGTTGCCACTGATCATTTCTATTCTCATAATAATTATTGTTTCCCCGATCAAATCTCCGACCATTTTGTCTATTGTCCCTATTATGACTGTTATATCCTTGATTTCCACTATATTTACCATCACCCCGTCCAGTATTGCTATTTCCGAAATTTCTACTCTGATATTTAAAATTATTCCCCTGAAACTGACTACTATGACTACCATTGTTAGCAACATTATAAATAAATTAATAAATAAATAAATAAATAAACACTCCTCTCCAATCGCTGTAAATAACTAGATAAACTTTCCATTTTTTTAATATTATGTAACCCTATAGTCTCTGCCATTTCCTGATTGAACTGCCTTGCTATGTATAACACTATCTCCTCCTCCCGCATATTAGGTTTAAGATACTGAGCTGTATTATATAGTTGCATCGCATACATATTAAAATTCTTCTAATTAAACTTTCCAAAGTACAATCTTTCCCGAAAACTAGCTTGCTGAATATCCCCCAAAAATAATTCAAATCTCCATCTCATTACAATCTTTAACATTCAATATTCCCCTTTATCTCTTATCTTTCCATGAAACCATCCTTGACCATCTTACAAAAAATACCCCTTGACAATTCTCCCTTGACAATTCAATTCTAATACTTCAAAATTGACTTTTTCCCCAAACATTGATTTTCATTTCTATTTTCAAAACCAAACATAGAGTGTTTAATTTTTAGTTAACCAAATTACGTCATAATATATATATTTATACTCTTTACACAGTAGTCTGTGAATCATAGGTTTACTTTTTCCGTCCGTCTGTCCGTCCTGTCTCGTTTTTTTGTCGCAGGAGAAGTCAAAAACTTAAAAAATTCAGGAAAATCACGCTCTATAACAGATAATCCTACCGGCTTATAACCGACAAAGACAAATATAAAATCAATAATATTAACTTAAATTTTTTTGTAAAATCAAGCTCTACAAGGATCAAAGCCTATTTAAGATTGAACCTCACTAAATTGAAAATTTATTATCAAATCATCAGATTCATCCCTCCCATTAAAGAGCGTTTATTTACCTATTAATTTTATGTAATACATAGGTACTCAATTTTATTATGGTTCATTTGAATTTCAGTTACATTAATAAATGTATAAAAATTAATGTGTGTTTTTTATTGTTTTTTTTTCTTCTACACCTACTACAGGTACAAATCAGTCAGTTGATGAATTTTCAAAAATGCGATATAAGCTAAGCAGGGGGTCTACCCAAAATAAAAAAAAACATGGCAAGTGGTCTAGGACAGTGTTCCCAACCCCCAGGTTGCGGACGGGAATCGGTCCGTGGATCAAATAGTACCGGGCTACCTAATGAACTTTAGATTATTTTTATTTTATTTATTGTGGTGTTTTTTTCGAGTAATAAGATGGTTATCCAGAGGAAAATCGTCAGTGTATTTGAATTACGAGAGCCACTGTGCAAAGATTTCACTCAGAAAAGAAGTCACCCTGGCAGCACAAGATATGGGTCGCATAACTGGCTTACCTGACATTAGCGGAGATTTTATGCGAGACTGATTCTAAACATTCATTTTCCCAGTTGGTGCAAGAGCAAGGACAAGTGATTTTAAAAGAGTTTGAGCGCAACTTTGTAACCACAAATGAGCCACGAACTGGTATCGAATGGATTCGCCACCAATTTGTCAACGAATCAGGAGAATCTGGCATGTCTATGCAAGAAGAAGGTAATTAACTGCAGAAGATTGAAATGACGGCGGTCTGGATTAAAATCATAGCGAAATACCATCTCAGGGTACCACCACAGCACTTAACTTCCTATTGCCATTTCCGACCAAATATCTGTGTGAAGCGGGGTTTTCTGCAATGACAGCAACAAAAACTATGGAATAAACTGGACATCACCAACATTTTCGGGTGTCATTATCTCCTATTACCCACAGATGGAACCGTCTCGTTGCAAAGGAACAAGCTCAGGGTTATCAATGATTTAGCATTCTAGTGAGTTAAAATGTTAAATAACTTTATATTTATTTTTTGGTGTAATTATATTTTATTTTAAAGACATATTTAAATGCATTTAAATTTAAATTGGTAAATTAAAACAATCTAAAACATAAGCAATCAACGTTCCCCCTCAGCGGGTAGAGGCAAAATTTCAAACTTTGACTGGTTCGCAGTAATAAAAAGGTTGGGAGCACTGGTCTAGGAGACAAAAAAGTGTTGGGACATCTGCTCCTACCAATACAATTTAAATAGGGCAAGTACTAAGTATGTCACATCATTGAAAAGGTAATGCATGTTCCTTGCATTTGGGTTCGAATCCCACAGCTGTCTCGCCTTCTATGGCTTTTTTACAGGTTTTCTCATAGCATTAGGCAAATGATGGGTCCGTAACATCCTTTCAGATACCCACCATTATTCCTTCAATCCCATCCCCTTAGAACCGATCACTGATCACAATTGGGAGAATGAAATATACACATCCATTACCTTAAAAGGGTTAAATTTATGTGGAGTTCAGCAATGTTATTAATTAATTGAGTTACTTTTGATTTTAGCATCCTTTAGCGGTATAAAAAAGTTTTATGTAAGGTAAAGATTGAACTTTATTTAAATGCTCATTTTACTAATAATTTAAAGATACATGAACCCAAATAATCGAAAAACCTTGCAGAACTCTAACTTTAAGAAATACAAAGTTTAATCGCAATCAAAAAAATTACTAATAAAATTAGGTTCCAAATAAAGTTGTCACACTTTACAATATTTAACAGTGTTTATCCTGCTGAAAGACGTTCAAATCAACAACTTAATGACTTGAGTGTGATACCTATTGCTGAATTCTCCATAAAGTTACTTTTTTAAGTATGTTGTCTTATTTAGTACTTTTTTTATTTGTATTTTAATGGTTAGAGCGTGAAAGAGACGGGAATCAAAAATTAAAAATTGACGACTCCAAGTGTTTGTCTAAAAATGTTGACACAGTTTCTGATAATGACTATGATAGATATATTTTCATCTGGCTACCCTTTATATTCACAAGCCAGCTTGTTAGGGTCCGCTCGGATAGAAAAGATACCATTATAACACGTTAACATATTATTTTCATATTATAGTAATTATTGTTTATTTTTCATATTATCGTAAATACAATATCAAATTTAAATTGGTCCCATCCTTAAAAACTAAATGTACATGCCGTTGGTTAGAAATATAGATGGTTTATAACGGTAATTTCGATTCGAGAGGTGTAACGTAATGGTATAATCTCCATCAGAGCGGACCCTAGATGAATTTTATTTCAGGAGAGTGTTTTTCTTCATTTATTTATAAATTTATCTGATATATGTTGCCAACCCATATTGTAGAGTTAATAAATGCAAATATGTAATCTTCTAACGAGAGATTTCGGAAATATTTCAATTTAATTAAAAATTTATTTTTAAGGATGATACCGTATTTTTATATTTTTAGATAGCCGAATTTATAAACAAAGCTTTGGAAGAACATTTTCCAGATAATTCTGTTAAAATAATTGCAGAACCTGGAAAATATTGTTGTAATACAGCCTTCAAATTAGTATCTAGAATACACTCCAAGAAGGTTGTAACAGATCATTATGAACAAAAAGTTCGGATGTATTATATGGATGTTGGTGCCTACAATGCCTTATTCAATATATTAGTTAATGAGTACTATATGTATCGACCTGTTACTATTGAAAACTCGGCACAGGTTAGTAAAATTAATTTTTGTACTACTTGCATTAAAAATCTTAAAAATCTTTGAAATTAAGAAATACTTTTCTGGCCTGGACGAACAAGTGATAAGTTATAAAATAAAAGGGAATATTTTGTTAAAAAATCTAAATACACCTCAAGGGTATTTTGAAAGACTTTTGTGCGATTCAAAACCTTTTGATAGGTAAATTTCGAATTATAACCACAAACAACCCTTGTACATAAACTTTTTCGTATTAATTTGGCTACTATATGGAAAGAACGTGAATGCTTGCAATTCGCCTTTTGTAAACAAAATCAGTAGTCTAGTAGTTGTTCGTCATTTTTACTAACGCTTACTAGCGGTGATACATAAATAACTGTTTAATAATATTAATAAATAATTCGTAAATATGTTTCAGCTTTTTCCAAGTATAGTATGGGGACCAACCTCAGATACCAGAGATAGACTTTCAGAAAAGGTTGATTATTTACCAGAACTAAACATTGGAGATTGGTTAATTTTTGAGGAAGCAGGGGGTTACACTGTATCTATTACTTGCGAATATAATGGATTTGCTTCACCATTAATCTATACAGTAATTAATAAAGAAGATTGGTTAGTTTTTAAAATTTATTTCTTGATTTTGTCCAAACATTGTTTGGTTAGAAACTCAGATGAGCATACATTAATGGGAATGGTGCAATTCTACTCTGAAATAAATCAATAATGGATTAAATAAATAATGTAAAATAATTATAATCAAAAAGTTAATATTTTTTAGCCTACTGTTAACTGAGAAACTCCAATCACCATTTCCTCAAGACAAATTTACGTCATCTCTGGAAGCGTTTTTTACAGGACACAAAAATCCATATTCTTTTAGACAGAAATATTTCTAATTTTGTAGAATTTCTCGAGTTTACTTAAAAAAAAGTAGGAAATATTCTTTCTATTTTAGAGTTATTACATTTTTAATTTTCAACGTTTAGGTACAGGGTGCGCATTTTAAGAAATACACACGTATTGCAAGTTATGTTAAAAATCGCATATATAATGATAAAAGTAAAAATACTGTATGTGGAATTAAATATAAATTTTGATTAATAAAATTATTAGTGTTATTTTTCATCTGGCAAAATATAAAATTTTGTGATTTCAGCCAATAAGAGCTCGCTTTGTTTACCTTTGTTTACCTTCTGAACTGATAACTAAATAATCTAAATACTTAAAAATTAATAATATTATTATTATTTTTTTAATTTGGTGTCATCGGCATCGACTACTAAGGCCATTAGCCTCGTGCTCTGTGTAGGCTTTGTAACTGTTTCCCAGCGCCACTTTAGGAACAGCTTTGTTAATTAGAACCAAACAGTAAGTGGTCGAGTGGGGAATCCTACCAAGGTATCAGTGTAACGGCCGGAACGCGTTACAATGTATGGTGGATTGTCGATCACAATCTTATGCCTATCGGGTCACTCATGTGGAGACGGGAGTGGGTTAGATCTTCTAAAAATTGATCGATTTTCTTCTTGGGCGCCAAATAGCTTCAACCCTTCTTCAAACAGTACCAAATTTACCTTGTAAGCTATTGAAGTAGGTAAATGAAAGGACAAATTCCAAAATACACCGATTTATTGAAAAGTATATAAAAACATTAAAGTATCAAAATATATGCACATAAAATTAAAGTGAACAGAAAAGATCACAATTCTATAAGGTTAACACCCACTTTACACTATAATTTATCACAATCTAAAGAGAAAAACCTAAATCAAATAATTTTCCCCCTCAAAATAATACCCTATCCATTTATTCTAAAACCTTTTTTTAAAAGATTAATTGTACAATCATGTGATTAGCAACCTAAGTTGGTAAATTTCCTAAAATAGCGGAGATTAAAATAGCAAAATATGAAAGGAAAAATAGACGGAATCGGTCATTAGCGTTTGGTACCAAAAGCGAACGATGCGTAAATAAAAATCAGTTTCCCAGGGAAACGTGACGGCGATAATATCAAAATTAATATCCGCTGCACAATATGTGATGGCCAATTAAAAATACAATAAACAAAACCATCAAATAAAGAACAATCGTTCCATTCTGCGCAAGAGCAGTATATAGTACATATCAAATATTTCCCCCCCCCCCCCCCCCAATTAAATTAGTATGAGTAAAAGGTGAAAAACTAATCACATAATCAAGGAAAACTGGTCATAGTCTGTACCGAACAACAAACGGCGAAACTCACACGCAGTACCAGTCAGATACTGACTTCAAAACAAAACTCCACCAGACTATAATCAAATTCCCTTGACTAGTGCGCAAGAAATGATATTTAAACACTATAAGTAAAACAAAAGTAAATCGAATAAATCGGTGCAAAAAAAGATAGTAAACAATAAAAGTTAGAAAAACCTGTGCATTCTAATTAAAATGGCTTCAGCATCACCATCGCACTCCAGACACACCTTCTGGTCAGACATTACTGGCAACACTTCCAAATCTCCTTGAAGAACATACATCCTAGGAAGTTCTTCGAAGACAACACCCCCAAGAAGGACGTTAGTCCTCTCCACAGAAAACTGCAACTTCCGCTGCATGGAAAGCAAAATTAACACCCTTCAGCCCTACTCAAGAGTTGGGGTTGTTGGTAGTGGTGAGGTCACTGAGGCGATGGGGTCGGCCCTAAAATTGACCAAGAAAATACCGTGTCAGGATAGGTCTGGCTAAATTTAAAGACACGAGCACTTTAATATTCAAAACTTTAACAAATTAAAGACACATAAAATGAATCATCTAGATTGCCCACAAAACCCAAATCTACAATAATTACAGTTACTGACTCTTGAAATAAAATACAGGCTCGGCCTCGTGGTAATATTTCTTTAAAAAGCTTACCTTTTCGTAAGGGACCAAAATATCTCGAAATCCAAAAGCTCCAACAGGTTAGCATAAACGGCGTAAAGGCCAAGGAGGAATACGAAGGCTCCCAATCCAAATTATCCGCTACAGCGTCGTAAGACAATGGCTACCATAAAGTTCCACACTTCCAGTAAATAACAAAACTCAGCCAAAATACAATGTCTCACTAAATAAAGAAACACTAACAAATCCCCTACCATACAAGGGTTGACGTAATAGTCACAAAACTAGTGGATTCTTGAATGGATCTGGAAAAATCTTAAAATGTGCCGTCGCTACCTTTCCCAGCCGAAATCTTCAGAACGACAACCGACCAACTTCCTTCATGTCCAAAATTCCACAACGGAAATTATCTCCACAAACAAATCAGATAACCGTATTTTAGTCAGCTGTCTTTTTCTGGCCAATCGTCCGAAAAACCGATACAACGGAACCTATATTATCGACTCTTCGACCAATAGGAATCCGATACAGGCGCCACGAAACGCCAAAACAAACGCACATGTGCATTCCTTATACCTAAAATCCACGAAAACCATAAATTATCCCAAATCCCTAAATAAAATAAACTGTGCGCATACTCAACGACAAATAATACATAGTTCTACCACTACGCAACACTAAACCAGCTTACACTACTTAAAAAATAGAAACACCCTGAAGTGATCCCTTCGATAACGGTGTTCTATAGTCAGTTGAATCGATCGAGTTCGCAAAGCCGAACGCGACTTTGCCGTCTACTGACAGTTAACGTCTAAACACATGACAGTGACAGAATTTAATCTGCTAACGTCAAAACAAATTGAATTTAAAAACAAAATTACATTTATTCTACGGTTTACCTATTATAAATACAGTTAAAACGTCTGGAAGTAAGGAGAAATGATATTTACAACTATTCGGGGATGGAATATTAGAATTAGATGTTAGAAAAACGGAAAAATGGAAAAAAAGGATATACCCAGAATCGAATACGAATATTGCCAACTAAAATGAAACGGTAATTATTGCGAAGACGCCCTTTTCTTAAAAATACATATTTTTTACAAAACTTACATCTTTCTCTTTAGGAAGGAGAGTATTTTTCAAATATATCACCGGAAACCCCACAAATTACCGTTTTTTTAAAAAAATTACATATTAAAGGCTTATGAGGATCATTAAATGATAATTTGTGTAAACTTATTCATTAGAATTTAGAATCATGTCCGTCATGATCTGTCAATACAAATTAGTGCAGTGTTGCCAGTGTGCAACTAAAATCAACGAAAATGAAATCAGTTCTATTAATTTATTTCCGGTCACATTCGATGATTTATTTATCCATTTTGATTGAATTGTTGTAGTACATTATTTTTAAATATTAATATTACGTCATCTATAAAATAATAAACAATACTTTTCGAAAACTTTGAAACATAATTATGTTATTCAAAAGTTTTTAATACTTTTGAACCAAGTGAATTTATTTGTCTGTCAAACGACGACAGCCAGCCAGCCAAATTTAAAGAGTACTATCAACAAGTTTAACTGTCACTTGGTGGAGACTTTTAAGGCATTTCTCTATAAGCTTACCACAACATACTTGCCGTGTGTTCCGTATATCACCGAATATTACCGGTGTGGTTAAAACTGTTACTAACGTTTTCAGGACGGTTTCTTTTTGGTTTTGGTAAGTGGAATATTTACAGAACGCTTGTTGTAAATGTCAATTGTCTCATGTCAAATCAATGCATTTTTTTGCCGCGTTTGAGAATCCACATCGGATGCATCTAAGATGTAGTAAATCTTTGATCACGTGATTCAGTATACGTAAATGTAATGGGACA